AAAAAGATCTTGATAAGTATGAAAGTGGAGTCGGTCCCCGGCTGGCCAGGTTTTTAAAATAAACCCCAATCAACCCCTACTATTGGGGGTTCAGTGCTGCTGCTGCGTACCATTTTCAGCTGCTGCTGCTGCACTGCAGCTGCTCGCTGCTGTAGCCCGCACTGCTGCGCTCGTAGTACCGTCTGCTGCTGCTGTAGCATCGTCTGCTGCTGCTGTAGCACTGTCAGCTGCTGCTGCTGCTGTACCACCGTCAGCTGCTGCTGCTGCAGTAGTACCGTCGCTGCGGGGTGTACATCGCCCTGCTGCTGCTGTAGCATCGTCTGCTGTGCTGTAGCATCGTCTGCTGTGCTGTAGCACTGTCAGTGTTGCTGCTGCTGCTGTAGCACCGTTGTTGGTGTGGCTTATTGAAAATACCAAGAAACAATTAACCCCAGAGGGTTATCCACCCAGGATAACCCAAAAAAGTCACTGTCTAACTTATTTCCATTGGGGTCCTTAAACTTGTCTCCCAGGATGCAACCCACACCAGTCGACTAACACCCAGGTGAACAGGGAAAAATGCCTGGAACTAGTGCTCATATTGGTGAATTTAAAGCCAGCAAAGGTTGGTTTGAGAGATTTAAGAATCATAGTGGCATACACAGTGTGATAAGGTCTGTTCTGGAAGAAAATGCCAAACAGGACCTACAGTACTCAGGAGGAAAAGGCACTCCCAGGACACAGTGTCTCATCAGTCATTGCTGCATCTTCAATAAAGGTAAGTGTCATTTATTCTTCATTTAGTAGAGTAGTACATGCACAATATATATTGTGCATGTACTACTCTACTATTGTGGATGTATCCTTCTCTTTGTGTGTAGGAAAATGTATATTTCATGTGGTAAAATTTTTTTTTCATACTTTTGGGTGTCTTGCACGGATTAATTTGATTTCCATTATTTCTTATGGGGAAAATTCATTCGCATAACGATAATTTCGCATAACAATGAGCTCTCTTGCACGGACTAATATCGCTATGCGGGGGTCCACTGTATTTCAATCCAGAAGTCTGTTTGGATGCCGTTATAGACCGAATTTGTTCCCATAAGAAATATTATGAATTAGATTAGTCCGTTTCAGACCCCTAAAAATACACCTACAAAAAGCACTTACAAAAATAAACTTACATAATTGGTCGAGTTGGGAGCTGATCGTTATGCGGGGGTCCACTGTATTTTGGATACCTGTTAAGCAGTATATGTCTCATGGAAAATTGTAATCATGATCTGGTTTTTATATTTTCCTTTTCCAGGTCCACCATTATTGGAGAGAGCCTAAGTCGCTTGCTTGAGTTTCTGGGTCATGACTTACTGAGACTGAACCATCTTGGTGACTGGGGTACACAGTTTGGTATGCTTATTGCTCACTTACAGGTATGTTTCCCCCTTTCCTTTTTTTTTTTTCTTTTAAACACTGGCTGTCTCCCACTGAGGTAGGGCAATCCAAAAAGAAGAGGAATCATATTCATCATCATTTATGGTATGAACCTTGGTAATAGATACCATCAAATTGGTTTAGAAAGACACATGAGCAGTCATTAGGACTCGCTTGCCCTGAGTTCAATCCCCACCCGTACTGTGGTTTGTTTACTAGGACATATTAGAAAATGTTTCGGTCCTGGGACTTTGATCACTTACAGGTCCCAGGACTAAAACTTTTTGTAATAAATATATCCTAGTATTTGCTCATGTGTCTTTCTAAACCAGTCATTACTTATTCAATCACTGTTTTGCCAGAAGTGTGATGGTATTGGTTCGGTTGGTCTTCTAAACTGAAACATACCCACCTCTCCTTCAGGGTAACTCACTGTTCTTCCCACCTCCAGGACTCAAGTCTGGCTAACCAGTTTCCCCAAATCTTATCATAAATGTTGCGTTGCTCACTCCTGCATCCACTAAATGATATTAAGTGGTATGGTAATGATTAAACATTCTTAAGAAGAGTGATGTTTGTGCACTTCTGGTAAGACATCTCCTGAGTGAGGGGTGAATGTATTTCTTCTTTTGGGTTTCCCTACCGTGGTGGGTAGTGACCAGTTTGGTAAAAAATCGATGTTATAAAAGTGTATAAAGGTGCTCCTCAATCTACAATGGAGTTACGTTCCAGTGAACCCATTGTAAGTCGTAGTAGTAATAGTAGTAGCAGTAGTAGTAGCAGTATTTGTTTTTGTTTATACTGCCTTTTCCCAATGTTACTTGTATGATTATTATTACATTTATCTGGAAGCACAAAATTTGTAAAGGTCATACAGTGCCTCGAGAATGAGAGGTAGTCAGGTTTTTTTTTTTTTTTTTTTCAACAAGTCGGCCGTCTCCCACCGAGGCAGGGTGACCCAAAAAAGAAAGAAAATCCCCAAAAAGAAAATACTTTCATCATCATTCAACACTTTCACCACACTCGCACATTATCACTGTTTTTGCAGAGGTGCTCAGAATACAACAGTCTAGAAGCATAAACATATAAAGATAACAACAATCCCCCACCCGCCAATATCCAAACCCCTCCTTTAAAGTCAGGCATTGTACTTCCCATTTCCAGACTCAAGTCCGACTATATGTAATAACCGGTTTTCCCCGAATCCTTCACTAAAATTACCCCGCTACACTCCAACAGATCGTCAGTTTTCCCCCGTTTCCATTCGTCTCCATCACTCTTCTAACACGCTCACGCTCGCTTGCTGAAGTCCAAGCCCTTACCCACAAAACCTCCTTTTCCCCTCTCTCAACCCTTTCAGGACGACCCCAACCCCCCTTCCTTCCCCTATAGTTTTTATGCTTTCCATGTCATTCTACTGTGATCCATTCTCTCTAAATGACCAAACCACCTCAACAACCCCTCTTCTGCCCTCTGACTAATACTTTTATTAACTCCACACTTCTCCTAATTTCCACACCCCGAATTTTCTGCTAATATTTACACCACCATTCCCCTTAAACAGGACATCTCCGCTGCCTCCAACCGTCTCCTCGCTGCTGCATTTACCACCCAATCTTCACACCCATATAAGAAGTGTTGGACTACTATACTTCATACATTCCCTTCTTAGCCTCCATTAGATAACGTTTTTGGGACTCCACAAATACCTCTCAACCACCACTCACCTTTTTTTTCCCTCAACAATTCTATGATTAAACCTCATTCATCCTTCATAAATCCATCCGCCGACAACTCAACTCCCAAGTATCTGAAAACATTCACTTCTTCCATACTCCTCCTCCCCAATTTGATATCCAATTTTTCTTTATCTAAATCATTTGACCCGCTCATCACCTTACCCTTTCAGTTCACTTTCAACTTTCCTACCTTTACAACACATTCTCCCAACTCATTCCACTAACCCTTTTGCAATGTTTCTTTATAATCTCCCATAAGCACAGTACATCAGACAAAAAGTAACTGTGTCAATTCCCATTTTGAATTTTGAATTTCCCCATATTTAATCCCACCCCTCTCCAAACAGACCCTAGCATTTACTTCCTTTACAACCCATCTAAAATATATTAAAACAACCATGGTGACATTACACATCCCAGTCTAACGACCCTACTTTTACGGGAATAGTCTCCCTTCTCTTCTACACACCCTAAACCTGAGCCTCACTATCCTCACAAAAACTCTTTAAGCATTCAATAATCATTAACCACCTAATCCATTTACTTGCAACATCTGCACATTGCTCCTCTATCCATCTATCAATCCTTTTCTAAATCCATAAATGCAATAAAAACTGTCCCTATCTTTAATCTAAATACTGGTTCACATATATGCTCCATGTAAACACCTGATCTACACATCCCCCTAGTCCCACTCCTCATAACCTCCTGCTCATCCGCAAGTCCTACAGTCCTGTCTTACCTCTCCATAAATCTTTCAATTATAACCCTACCGTACACTTTCCTGGTATACTCATAAGCTTATTCCTCATAATTTTTACAGCAACCACCCAGAGGTACTACCGTCCAGCCGAAGTGATGTAAAACAAGCCTGTAATTGTTTTTTACATGATGTGAGATTGCCTGATGTCTTTGTCTTCTCATAAATATGCAAGATTACAGGCATGTCTTCTACTTCTACTACACTTAGGTCACACTATCACATACTTACACATTTTAATTATAACACACTCATCTGAGTTTTCTTTGATTTTATCTTAATAAGTTCTTGGTCTTATTAATTTTCCCTTTTATATCCATGGGGAAGTGGAATTAAGAATCTTCCTCCGTAACCATGCGTGTTGTAAAAGTCATACGTAAAAGCCGGGAAACAATGGGCAGTAACCGCCTTTTCCTGTAAAGATTACTAAAAAGAATAAGAAAGAAGAAATTGTCAAGTGTGAAAGTCTGAATGTGCGTGGCTGTTGTGCAGATTATAAGAAAGAGATGATTGGTGGATGTTATGAATGAGAAGAACTGGATGTCTGTTCACTTGGCTTTAGTGAAACAAAGCTGAAGGGTGGTAGGTTTCTGTGGAAGGAATAAATGGGATTAGAGTCAGGGGTTTCAATAGAGTTAAGCTAAAGAAGGAGTAGCAATAATTTGAGGATAAGCTATGGCACGGAAAATAGGGACTATAAATGTATTAATTCAGGATTATGTGTGAGTAAAATAAAGATTGGATGTGAAAAGTGGGTTAAAATAAGCGTGGTATGACATGGAGAAGAGAAAGTGTAGAGGAGAGAGAGATATTTTGGAAATGTGAGTGAATGCTTGGAGTTTTGAATCCAAGTGTGAGAGTAATGGTGGTTTGGGATTTTTAATGCTAAAAGTGGGTAAAAAGGTAATGGAGGGATATAGTAGGTAAATTTGGGGTAGCCATGGGTAAAAGTAAATGGGAGGCCTTAACTAATTGAGCTATGTGTAGAAAGAAATTTGTAATAATAATACATATTTTTATGATAAAAAGATGGATAAATAATATACAAGATGATGTAGCTACGTAATGAAAGTATGTTTTATAGATTATGTATTGGTGGATAAAAAGGTTGATGGGTAGCTCCAGGAAGTACATGTTTATAGAGGAGCAACTGAATATCGATCATTCTATTTTAGTTGTACTAACATTATAGTAAGAGTAGATGTCAAAGAGAAGGTGCAACAACAAGTAAGAGGGAAGTGAAAGTGTATAAACTCAGAGGAGGAAGTTCGGTGAGATATAAGCGACTATTGGCAGAAAGGTGGGCTAGTCAAAGATGAAGTAGTGGGGGGGTTGAAGAGGGTTGGATAGTTTTAAAAATGCAGTTATTAGAATGATGGGGCAGAAGTTAGTGGTTATGGATGGTGGGGTCAAGGAGGAAAGAGGATTGATGGTGGAATGATGAATCAAGGGTGGATCAAAAGAGAAAGAAGGTAGCTTACGAGAGTTTTTTTACAAAGCATGAAGTGTTATAAGAAAGAGCAGAGTAATGAGAGTAAAAGAAAGGTAAAGAAGTGGTGAAGAGTGCAAAAAGGAGAGCAGATGATAGAGTGGGAGACACTGTCAAGAAATTTTAATGAAATAAGAAAAAATTATGGATGAGTTAAACAAGTTAAGAAAGCATAGGGAAAATATGGATTGTCAGTTAAAAACAGAGTAGGGAGTTAGTAGATTGGGAGATGGAGGTATTGGGTAATGGCGAGAATAATTTGAGGAACTTTATAAAATGTTAAGATAAGAAACAGAGCAGTAAATTCATGCACTGGTCAGGGAAGTATACCAATCTTTTAGAGTGTAGAAGAAGCAGAATGTAATGTAGTGGGGAGGTATCGTGAGGCAAGTAACGTAAGAATGGAAAGGGTAAAGGCAGTCTGGAACTGATGTATCAATGACAGAAAATGTTAAAAGCATGGGGATATAGTGTTGGAGTGGTTGGTACTTTTTGTTTAATAAATGTATGAAAGAGGGGAAAGGACGCTAGGATTGGCAGAGAGCATGTAATAGACCCCTTTAATAAAGGGAAGGGACAAAAGAGACTGTAAAATAATAGTCAGTGTTACCTTGTTAATTTGATGGAGTTACTCACATCGGACTCCAGGCTGAAGGACTGAGTACCTCAAACTCCGTTCTGATCTTTTAACCATTCTTCACTGCATTATGGACTGAGGAAGCCACTGGGGATGATGAATCCATTTCCAAATAAAGATATCCAGGAGGGTAGCTCCTGTTGTTTGGATCAAGAGACCTTCAGTATCAAGTAAATTACATGCAGCCTTTTGTTTTGCAGGACAACTTTCCAGATTTTGCCACAAAGTCTCCTCCGATCGCTGACCTCCAGGCCTTTTATAGGGAATCTAAAAAGAGGTTTGACGAAGATGGAGATTTTAAGAAGAGAGCGTATGAGGCCGTGGTAAAGCTGCAGGCGCATGATCCAGTACACATCAAAGGCTGGGAAGAGATATGCACTATTTCCAAGACAGAATTTCAAAAGGTGAGAAAAATTCTAGACCTGGAGTTCTGGAGGTTTGAAGTACAATGTCTGCACTCTAAAAGTTCTTTAAAGTTTTTCCTGTGTTTCTTGGCTCCTGTGTGATTCCTTAAGCTTAAATTCAACATTTTCTGTTTCTCTGGCTAGTGCTTCCTTCCATATTTTAGATAGATTTGCCCCATTGAGCAGCTCTGATTCTTTGGTTTCACCTGTAGAGGAAGGGTGAGGATGTTACAGTTCAAGGGCCAGCTAAACTGTGTTGTCAGCATGCTTCTAGCAAGACAACAGTTGAATGAATGATTCTGAATGCGTTTCCTTTTTTCTCATGTCACCCTTTCTCATTGGGAGAAGGTTTGTGTGTTAAAAAAATGTACTACTGGTATATCTTTAAGTTTATAGTTTTGATGAGCTCTTGAGATTTTTTCTACTCTCGGAGCCTGGCCATTGGCCAGGCTTATCTGGTGCTAGCTTGATCAACTAGGCTGTTGCTGCTGGAGGCCCACTGGCCCATATATCTATTGCGGCCTGGTTGATCTGGCACCTGCAATGAGGAAACATTGCCAGTTTCAACAAGGAAGCACTTTCAGTTGCAACAAGAAGATGTCACACTAGGAATATTATGACTGATTTGGCAGACTTGAACAATAGTTGAGGTTATGGTTGAATACTTACACAGGTTTGGTCACCAAAACATAACACAGTGAACCATTGTTTTATTTTTGACTAGGTAGAGTATGAAAACTTTTGTTGAAATTTCTAACTACTTATTAATTGTTATTTTTTTATTTTAGGTATACGAGCGTCTTGGTGTCCGGATAATTGATAGAGGGGAGTCATTTTACCAGAGCCGCATGGAGGCTTTAGTAAAGGAATTAGATGATGCTGGCTTTTTAGAGGAAGATGATGGCCGTAAGGTTAGTTATTTAATACGATATTCTTCATCTGAAACAGTTTTTCGGTGGAGAGAGAGTGTAGTAAATATCAGTTGCCGTTTAAATTAATACCTTTGAGCCTGTTTGACTCACGAAATCATAATAACACGATTGCAAACAAACCGCGGAACAGGTGAGGTTTGAACCCATGGCAAGGGGGTTGTAAAACTCCAGGCCAGAGTGTAAGCCACTGGTCCAGTGGTTTATGCACAGGCCTGGAGTTTAAGACTAACTCACCATGGCTTTAAACTCCACCCATTCTGTGGTAGCGGGCCTCATTTGTTCATGTAAATAATGTGGGTTTGTGGAAAAAAAATAGTTGCCCATAAATGTGCTACGATGATTAATGTAAGTTTCCCATTAGGATTGTAAAATGAATACTGTTTCTTCCATTGAGGTTTTTAATAACACTGTAACACCAGTATAATGGTAATAATATTTAGTAAATGGGCACATGCAACCAATCTGACATTTTACCGTGGCAGTGTTTTGCTGTCCAGAGCAAAACATTGCCACAATGAAATGTCACATTAATTTCATCTGTGTACATTTACCTAACACTGTAACACCACTTTGAGGTATTTTCAAGAAGCTTTTATTACTTTAGAGCAGCACGGCCCAACTGTCAGTCTTAATGACTCGCGAAATCGTAATGACACGATTGCAAACAAACCATACCACGGGCGGGGATGGAACTCGCGGGTTCCATCCCTGCCCGTGGTATGGTTTGTCAGTCTTAAATACAGTGTTATACCATATTCAGGTCAGCCATCACTAATCTGGCATGTAGAGGTTCATTATTTCTTGTACCCTTATAAAAGTGCATTGCTCTAGACCTTTTAGCAGTTCACCTGTCAACTGAATTAACTTATCAGTAGAGACATTAGCCAAAATTAGTGGTGGATTAGTCATGGAATTGGATTACCGATGGCCAACCTGTATCAGGTAGCCTGTGCTCCCAAGTCAAAAATAGGAATAGCATATACGAACCCCAGACAGATAACACAGATACATTACTTTCATCCCAGGATGCTTGTATGACAATTCTTTGTGTTTTAAAATGGTAGAAAGCCTACCATCACATCCTTAATTAATATCAAATAAATTGTTGGAGTTGAGCCCCTGGTGTTTGGTTCAGGAGCAGTGTGAGCTACGTGTATTTACGAGTTGAACAGTCTTATCTTAAATAATAATAATACTTTATTTCAGCATGATACAATGTTTGTACAAAGGTGAATGATATTTAGGTGTACATTCAGAAAGCCCCTTAATATGCAGAGCATTTCAGACAAACTTACGACTAACTTAAGATTAATAAGGCAGTAACAATGAGTAATTTTATACATACAGTCACTTGGGTGAGTGTAAGTATAAATTTAGGAGTGGGGATAAGCCCATGCCATCGACAATAAATCACAGATATACCCAATGGAAATGCCTATTTTATGGTGAACAAGATGCCCCATTCTGATTGGGAAAAAAATAGTGTCTTTGATGCTGTAAAATACAGTAAGGCACTCTTGACTTTTTTGGGTTATCCTGGTGGGTAATTTATACTATATACGATAATTGTACTTATGGGTTCCTGTACCTAAATGAACTTGTTTTTAAATCAGTTTATTTTAAATAAGAAGTACTGAATTTTGACATATTATGCCTCGGTGGGAGACGACCGACTTGTTGAAAAAAAAAAAAAATGGAGGATAAAGGTTTTAAGTGCTGTGGGCTTAAGCATTCAGCAGGCTTATGTGAGCATATTAGATCAAAATGATTGGAGATAATTTTTTATGGCTTGACATGCTGTCGAAGTGTGAGCAAGGTACAACTTATGAAGGGATTCAGGGAACCTGATTAACCGGACTAGAGTCCCTAAGATGATAAGGACAGCTCCACTGAAGGAGGAGTGGGAATATTACTCTTCAGAGGATGATTTGAATTGGAACATTTAAGTATTTTTGATAAGACGGCTGTTGAATGAGAAATGATGAATGTGTTTCCTTTATTTTGGGTCATTCTACCTTAGTGGGAGACAGCTATGTTAAAAAGAAATTATCCAAATCTAAAAGTGCTAAATGTATTCCAGGTCATGTTTGCTGACGGTGCAGGCATACCATTAACGATTGTGAAATCTGACGGTGGATTTACATACGATACATCAGATATGGCATGCATCAAGAACAGAATAGAAGAAGAAAAGGGTGACTGGCTCATTTATGTTACCGATGCCGGTCAAGCTCAGCATTTTAAGGTAGAGTAATTTTAATTTTGGGGGGAAGGGGCTAGTAACCTCTTCTCCTATATCAATTATTAAATTTAAAAAGAAAAACTTTTGTCTTTCTTTTTAGGTCACCCTGCCTCGGTGGGATACAGCCACTGTGTAAAAAAAAGATTAACTTTATTATGAAATTGGCAATTTGTAAATTCCATACAGAAATAACCCGCACATAGGAGAAAGAAACTTATGACGATGTTTTGGTTAATGGACCATTAACTGGTTAATGGAGCATTAACTGGTTAATGGACCATTAACTGTTAGTGGACCATTAACTGGTTAATGGTCCATTAACTGGTTAATGGACCATTAACTGGTTAATGGACCATTAACTGGTTAATGGACCATTAACTGGTTAATGGACCATTAACTGGTTAATGGACCATTAACTGGTTAATGGACCATTAACTGGTTAATGGTCCAAAGTGGACCAAAACATTTTCATACTTTTCTTTCTCCTATGTGTGGATTATTTGTGTATGTTCCAGTCATGGTATTGTACCTTTTTTATTTATAGATCTGTGTGGTGAAAGTGTTGAATGATGATGAAAGTATTTTCCTTTTGGGGATTTTCTTTCTTTTTGGGTCACCCTGCCTCGGTGGGAGACGGCCGACTTGTTAAAAAAAAAAAAAAAAAAGGAGATCTATATAAATTGTTATTAATTATTAATTAATTTTTTTGCTGCAGAGCTTTTTAGCATGTGCTGTTAGAGCAGGAATTTACAACCCATCAGTGACACGTGTAGATCATGTTACATTTGGTGTTGTACTTGGAGAGGACAAGAAAAAATTCAAGACAAGATCTGGTGAGTATCATAAGGGACTGGCTTGCTTTCTGTATTGAATTAAAAGATGGTTTTTAGGTAAAATAATGTCTGCCAGACTTGAGTGCTGGAGGTGGGAAGTACACTCCCAGTACTCTGAAGGATGGTGGAGGTGGGAAGTACAGTGCTTGCACTCTGAAGGATGGTGGAGGTGGGAAGTACAGTGCCTGCACTCTGAAGGATGGTGGAGGTGGGAAGTACAGTGCCTGCACTCTGAAGGATGGTGAAGGTGGGAAGTACAGTACTTGCACTCTGAAGGATGGTGAAGGTGGGAAGTACAGTGCCTGCACTCTGAAGGATGGTGAAGGTGGGGAAGTACAGTGCCTGCACTCTGAAGGATGGTGAAGGTGGGAAGTACAGTGCCTGCACTCTGAAGGATGGTGAAGGTGGGAAGTACAGTGCCTGCACTCTGAAGGATGGTGGAGGTGAGAAGTACAGTGCTTGCACTCTGAAGGATGGTGAAGGTGGGAAGTACAGTGCCTGCACTCTGAAGGATGGTGAAGGTGGGAAGTACAGTGCCTGCACTCTGAAGGATGGTGAAGGTGGGAAGTACAGTGCCTGCACTCTGAAGGATGGTGAAGGTGGGAAGTACAGTGCCTGCACTCTGAAGGATGGTGAAGGTGGGAAGTACAGTGCCTGCACTCTGAAGGATGGTGAAGGTGGGAAGTACAGTGCCTGCACTCTGAAGGATGGTGGAGGTGAGAAGTACAGTGCTTGCACTCTGAAGGATGGTGAAGGTGGGAAGTACAGTGCCTGCACTCTGAAGGATGGTGAAGGTGGGAAGTACAGTGCCTGCACTCTGAAGGATGGTGAAGGTGGGAAGTACAGTGCCTGCACTAGGAAGGATGGGTGGAGATATATTGCAGTTTTTGAACCGTAGTATCAGAAAGCTTCTGGCAAAACAAACCCTACCTTGGTGGGAAACAGCTGATGTGTTAATAATAAAAAATAATAACTCGTGCTTTTTCTCATAGGTGACACTGTACGATTAGTTCAGCTTCTTGACGAGGGTCTCCAGCGATCAGAGGAGAAGCTCAAGGAGAAAGAGCGCCACAAAGAATTAACATCGGAGGAGTTTGTTAAAGCACGGGATGCTGTAGCCTATGGCTGTATCAAATATGCCGATCTCTGCCATGACAGGTACAGTAGTGAAGCAGCTTTCAAAATTTTAAATTACGTATTTGAATTTTGATGATGAATGACTATCACTGAATTGAACCACGGTCCATGCGTATAGAAGCCCCAGCGCTGTAGCCACTCAGTCACAAATGTTACGATAGGATGATTTTACACCCATTACTTCTGTAACTTGTTTATGTCAACTATTGGCTGTATCAACAGCATCACCTGTTGGTTGTATCAACAGCATCAACTGTTGGTTGTATCAACAGCATCAACTGTTGGTTGTACAACAGATCAGCTGTTGGTGTATCAACAGCATCAGTGTTGGTTGTATCAGCAGCATCACCTGTCGGTTGTATCAGCAGCATCAGCTGTTGGTTGTATCAACTGCATCAACTGTTGGTTGTATCAGCAGCATCAACTGTTGGTTGTATCAACAGCATCACCTGTTGGTTGTATCAACAGCATCACCTGTCGGTTGTATCAGCAGCATCAGCTGTTGGTTGTATCAACTGCATCAACTGTTGGTTGTATCAACAGCATCAACTGTTGGTTGTATCAACAGCATCACCTGTCGGTTGTATCAGCAGCATCACCTGTCGGTTGTATCAGCAGCATCAGCTGTTGGTTGTATCAACTGCATCAACTGTTGGTTGTATCAACAGCATCAACTGTTGGTTGTATCAACAGCATCACCTGTCGGTTGTATCAGCAGCATCAGCTGTTGGTTGTATCAACTGCATCAACTGTTGGTTGTATCAGCAGCATCAACTGTTGGTTGTATCAACAGCATCAACTGTTGGTTGTATCAACAGCATCAACTGTTGGTTGTATCAACAGCATCAGCTGTTGGTTGTATCAACAGCATCAGCTGTTGGTTGTATCAGCAGCATCACCTGTCGGTTGTATCAGCAGCATCAGCTGTTGGTTGTATCAACTGCATCAACTGTTGGTTGTATCAGCAGCATCAACTGTTGGTTGTATCAACAGCATCACCTGTTGGTTGTATCAACAGCATCAACTGTTGGTTGTATCAACAGCATCACCTGTCGGTTGTATCAGCAGCATCAGCTGTTGGTTGTATCAACTGCATCAACTGTTGGTTGTATCAGCAGCATCAACTGTTGGTTGTATCAGCAGCATCAGCTGTTGGTTGTATCAACTGCATCAACTGTTGGTTGTATCAGCAGCATCAACTGTTGGTTGTATCAGCAGCATCAGCTGTTGGTTGTATCAACAGCATCAACTGTTGGTTGTATCAGCAGCATCACCTGTTGGTTGTGTCAACAGCATCAGCTGTTGGTTGTATCATCAGCATCACCTGTTGGTTGTATCAACAGCATCAGCTGTTGGTTGTATCAACAGCATCACCTGTTGGTTGTATCAACTGCCTCAACTGTTGGTTGTATCAACAGCATCACCTGTTGGCTGTATCAGCAGCATCAGCTGTTGGTTGTATCAACAGCATCACCTGTTGGTTGTATCAACAGCATCAGCTGTTGGTTTTATCAGCAGCATCACCTGTTGGTTGTATCAATAGCATCAGCTGTTGGTTGTATCAGCAGCATCATCTGTTGTTGTATCAGCAGCATCATCTGTTGGTTGTATCAGCAGCATCACCTGTTGGTTTTATCAACTGCTGGTTGCATCAGCATTACCAACTGTTACTTGTATCAACAGCATCAGCTGTTGGTTGTATCAACAGCATCATCTGTTGGTTGTATCAGCAGCATCACCTGTTGGTTTTATCAACTGCTGGTTGCATCAGCATTACCAACTGTTACTTGTATCAACAGCATCAACTGTTGGTTGTAAAAATCATAATATTGTATGCTCTGGTTGAGCAACAGTTTGGCTTGCTATATTCATGTACCATGATGTGATTCCCCATCCATTCTTTTACTTACCGAACTTAAATATACCTGTACTCGTGTATTGTAAGTTGGATGATTTTAAGCCGCATATGATAAATCTTATCATAATTTTATCCATTTTTTTTTTCTTGTTTTTCAGGTCGCGAGACTACATATTCTCGTTTGACCGAATGTTGGATTTCCGTGGCAACACTGCGGCATATTTACTCTATGCTTTGACAAGGATACGCTCCATAGCCAGAACCGGTAAATCCTCTCTCGTACATCCTTTATGGTATAGTAAATCCTCATATACATTCTTTATGGTATAGTAAATCCTCTCTCATACATTCTTTATGGTATAGTAAATCCTCATATACATTCTTTATGGTATAGTAAATCCTCTCTCATACATTCTTTATGGTATAGTAAATCCTCATATACATTCTTTATGGTATAGTAAATCCTCATATACATTCTTTATGGTATAGTAAATCCTCATATACATTCTTTATGGTATAGTAAATCCTCATATACATTCTTTATGGTATCAGTAAATCCTCATATACATTCTTTATGGTATCAGTAAATCCTCATATACATTCTTTATGTTATCAGTAAATCCTCATATACATTCTTTATGGTATAGTAAATCCTCATATACATTCTTTATGGTATCAGTAAATCCTCATATACATTCTTTATGGTATCAGTAAATCCTCATATACATTTGTATGGTATCAGTAAATCCTCATATACATTTTTTTATGGTATAGTAAATCCTCATATACATTCTTTATGGTATCAGTAAATCCTCATTACATTCTTTATGGTATCAGTAAATCCTCATATACATTCTTTATGGTATCAGTAAATCCTCATATACATTCTTTATGGTATAGTAAATCCTATATACATTCTTTATGGTATAGTAAATCCTCATAAAACATTCTTTATGGTATCAGTAAATCCTCATATACATTCTTTATGTTATCAGTAAATCCTCATATACATTTTTATGGTATAGTAAATCCTCATATACATTCTTTTTTGGTATCAGTAAATCCTCATATACATTCTTTATGGTATCAGTAAATCCTCATATACATTCTTTATGGTATCAGTAAATCCTCATATACATTCTTTATGGTATAGTAAATCCTCTATATACATTCTTATGGTATCAGTAAATCCTCATATACATTCTTTATGGTATCAGTAAATCCTCATATACATTCTTTATGGTATAGTAAATCCTCATATACATTCTTTATGGTATCAGTAAATCCTCATATACATTCTTTATGGTATAGTAAATCCTCATATACATTCTTTATGGTATCAGTAAATCCTCATATACATTCTTTATGGTATCAGTAAATCCTCATATACATTCTTTATGTTATCAGTAAATCCTCATATACATTCTTTATGGTATAGTAAATCCTCATATACATTCTTTATGGTATCAGTAAATCCTCATATACATTCTTTATGTTATCAGTAAATCCTCATATACATTCTTTATGGTATAGTAAATCCTCATATACATTCTTTTTTGTTATCAGTAAATCCTCATATACATTCTTTATGGTATAGTAAATCCTCATATACATTCTTTTTTGGTATAGTAAATCCTCATATACATTCTTTATGTTATCAGTAAATCCTCATATACATTCTTTATGGGTTTTCAGTAAATCCTCATATACATTCTTTATGGTATCAGTAAATCCTCATATACATTCTTTATGGTATCAGTAAATCCTCATATACATTCTTTATGTTATCAGTAAATCCTCATATACATTCTTTATGGTATAGTAAATCCTCTCTCATACATTCTTTATGGTATAGTAAATCCTCTCTCATACATTCTTTATTGTATAGTAAATCCTCATATACATTCTTTATGGTATAGTAAATCCTCATATACATTCTTTATGGTATCAGTAAATCCTCATATACATTCTTTATGGTATCAGTAAATCCTCATATACATTCTTTATGGTATCAGTAAATCCCCATATACATTTTTATGGTATCAGTAAATCCTCATATACATTCTTTATGGTATCAGTAAATCCTCATATACATTCTTTATGGTATAGTAAATCCTCATATACATTCTTTATGGTATCAGTAAATCCTCATATACATTCTTTATGGTATCAGTAAATCCTCATATACATTCTTTATGGTATCAGTAAATCCTTATATACATTCTTTATGGTATAGTAAATCCTCATATACATTATGGTATCAGTAAATCCTCATATACATTCTTTATGGTATCAGTAAATCCTCATATACATTCTTTATGGTATCAGTAAATCCTCATATACATTCTTTATGGTATAGTAAATCCTCATATACATTCTTTATGGTATCAGTAAATCCTCATATACATTCTTTATGGTATCAGTAAATCCTCATATACATTCTTTATGGTATCAGTAAATCCTCATATACATTCTTTATTTATTTTTTTTTTTTTTTTTTTCAACAAGTCGGCCGTCTCCCACCGAGGCAGGGTGACCCAAAAAAAAAAAAGAAAGAAAATCCCCAAAAAGAAAATACTTTCATCATCATTCAACACTTTCACCACACTCACACATTATCACTGCTTTTGCAGAGGTGCTCAGAATACAACAGTTTAGAAGCATATATGTATAGAGATACACAAACATATCCCTCCAAACTGCCAATATCCCAAACCCCTCCTTTAAAGTGCAGGCATTGTATTCCCATTTCCAGACTCAAGTCCGACTATATGAAAATAACGGTTTCCCTGAATCCCTTCACTAAATATTACCCTGCTCACACTCCAACAGATCGTCAGGTCCCAAGTATCATTCGTCTCCATTCACCCTATCTAACACGCTCACGCACGCTTGCTGGAAGTCCAAGCCCCTCACCCACAAAACCTCCTTTCCCCGTCTTTCCAACCCTTTCGAGGACGACCCCTACCCTTCTTTTCCTTCCCCTATAGATTTATATGCTTTCCATGTCATTCTACTTTGATCCATTCTCTCTAAATGACCAAACCACCTCAACAACCCCTCTTCTGCCCTCTGACTAATGCTTTTATTAACTCCACACCTTCTCCTAATTTCCCACACTCCGAATTTTCTGCATAATATTTACACCACACATTGCCCTTAGACAGGACATCTCCACTGCCTCCAACCGTCTCCTCGCTGCTGCATTTACCACCCAAGCTTCACATCCATTAAGAGTGTTGGTATACTATACTTTCATACATTCCCTTCTTTGCCTCCATAGATAACGTTTTTTGACTCCACAAAATACCTCAACACACCACTCACCTTTTTTCCCTCATCAATTCTATGATTAACCTCATCCTTCATAAATCCATCCGCCGACACGTCAACTCCCAAGTATCTGAAAACATTCACTTCTTCCATACTCCTCCTCCCCAATTTGATACCCAATTTTTCTTTATCTAAATCATTTGATACCCTCATCACCTTACTCTTTTCTATGTTCACTTTCAACTTCTACCTTTACACAAAATTCTCAAACTCATCCACTAACCTTTGTATTTTTCTTTAGAATCTCCCATAAGCACAGTATCATCAGCAAAAAGTAACTGTGTCAATTCCCATTTTGAATTTGATTCCCCATAATTTAATCCCACCCCTCTCCCGAACACCCTAGCATTTACTTCTTTTACAACCCCATCTATAAAAAATATTAAACAACCATGGTGACATTACACATCCCTGTCTAAGACCTACTTTTACCGGGAAGTATTCTCCCTCTCTTCTACACACCCTAACCTGAGCCTCACTATCCTCATAAAAGCTCTTTACAGCATTTAGTAACTTACCACCTATTCCATATACTTGCAACATCTGCCACATTGCTCCTCTATCCACTCTATCATATGCCTTTTCTAAATCCATAAATGCAATAAAAACTTCCCTACCTTTATCTAAATACTGTTCACATATTATGTTTCAATGTAAACACTTGATCTACACATCCCCCACCCCCTCTGAAGCCTCCTTGCTCGTCCGCAATTCTACATTCTGTCTTACCTCTAATTCTTTCAATTATAACCCTACCGTAACTTTTCCTGGTATACTCAGTAAACTTATTCTCTATAATTTTTACAATCTCTTTTGTCCCCTTTCCCTTTATATAAAGGGACTATACATGCTCTCCGCCAATCCCTAGGTACCTTCACCTCTTTCATACATTTATTAAACAAAAGTACCAACCACTCCAACACTATATCCCCCCCTGCTTTTAACATTTCTGTCATGATCCCATCAGTTCCAGCTGCTTTACCCCCTTTCATTCTACGTAATGCCTCACGTACCTCCACCACACTTACATTCTGTCTCTTCTTCACTCCTAAAAGATGGTATACCTCCCTGGCCAGTGCATGAAATTACCGCCTCCCTTTCTTCCTTAACATTTAAAAGTTCCTCAAAATATTCTCGCCATCTACCTAATACCTCCCTCTCCCCATCTACTAACTCCCCTACTCTGTTTTTAACTGACAAATCCATACTTTCCCTAGGCTTTCTTAACTTGTTTAACTCACTCCAAAATTTTTTCTTATTTTCATAAAAATTTCTTGACAGTGCTCTCCCACTCTTTCATCTGCTCTCCTTTTGCACTCTCTCACCACTCTCTTCACCTTTCTTTTACTCTCCATATACTCTGCTCTTCTTATAACACTTCTGCTTTGTAAAAACCTCTCGTAAGCTACCTTTTTCTCTTTTATCACACCTTTACTTCATCATTCCACCAATCACTCCTCTTTCCTCCTGCCCCCACCCTCCTATAACCACAAACTTCTGCCCCACATTCTAATACTGCATTTTTAAAACTATTCCAACCCTCTTCAACCCCCCCACTACTCATCTTTGTACTAGCCCATTCTTTATGGTATCAGTAAATCCTCATATACATTCTTTATGGTATCAGTAAATCCTTATATACATTCTTTATGGTATCAGTAAATCCTCATATACATTCTTTATGGTATAGTAAATCCTCATATACATTCTTTATGGTATCAGTAAATCCTCATATACATTCTTTATGGTATCAGTAAATCCTCATATACATTCTTTATGGTATCAGTAAATCCTCTCATATACATTCTTTATGGTATCTAAATCCTCTCATATACATTCTTTATGGTATCATTAAAGATACCACATGGTTACACTTGTCCTCTTCATCAGCTAGGTGGTATTGTATACCAGTAATGTATTGATGAATACTTTTTCTTGAGTAGAATAATAATATGCTGATAAAATTTAATATCAATAAAGGCACCTCCATTTCTGTTTATATATTGCTGAATTATATTTATTGGTAATTGTTGTTGCTGGTGTATTAGTATTGTATTAACCCTTTGACAGTTTCCGACGTATAAATACGTCTTACGAGCCAATGTTTCTGACGTATTTATACGCATAAATTCTAGCAGCTTCAAATCAAGCAGGAGAAAGCTGCTAGGCCCACATGTGAGAGAATGGGTCTCCATGGTCAGTGTGCACCATATAAAAAAAATCGGGGAGCCAGTGGTGCATTGTGGGAATGCCATTTCAGTTGTCATTTTTCAGCATGTCTAGTGGTAAGAAATATGTGATTCCCCAGCAAATCTGGGACTCTTCTCTTCCCAAGTGATGCTCTAACACAGATGGAAGTGTCAGTGAAGATCAATTTCATGATTTGGAGGAGTTTGAGACCAAAAGCAATGGAGGAGGAGGAGGGGAGGAAGAGGAGGAGGAGGAGGAGGAGGAGGGAAGGAAGAGGAGGAGGAGGAGGAGGAGAAAGGAGGGAGGAGGAGGAAGAAGAAGATGTAATAATATTGTTCCCTTGAAGCAAGAAAAAAAAAGTCCACCCCATGACAGTGACAAGATAAGGGGAGATAACATCTGATAAGAGCTGACTTTGATGAGGGTAAAGGAGGGTAATATTACATGACCATCGCCTCCCTTTGTTTTTGCTGGTACACAAACATTTCTGTCTGTCTATTTGTCTGTCTGTCAAGCTCCCTGTCTGTCCATCTAGCTCTCTGTCTCAGAGAGAGCCACAAGACTGTGTCATCACGTTTACTCACATCTTCAAGCAGAGTATAGCACTTTGTCTGGATTTCTTGGGTTATCCTAGGTAATTTACACTATGTATACTTGTATTTATGTGTACCTGTGAGACAGAGATAGGCAGACAGATAGAAAGAGAGACAGATTGAAAGATATAGAATGAGGGAGAAAGATAATTAGATAGAATGGAGGAGGGGAAGCAGCATCCGACCCCATTGTTTTGACAGGCAGTAGGGGTAGTGACTAATGAGACAATATGTCACTTTGACAGCTGCCGACTTCTGACTCAAAACAATTATAAGCCACACACTCACACACAAGACAAGGAGGAGGAGGAGGAGGAGGAGAAGGAGAAGAAGGAGAAGAAGGAGGAGAAGAAGGAGGAGAAGAAGGAGGAGAAGAAGGAGGAGAAGAAGGAGGAGAAGAAGAAGAAGAAGAAGAAGAAGGAGGAGGAGGAGGAGGAGGAGGAGGAGGATTGTTTGTTTGTTTGTTTGTTTTTGTAAACAAGTTTTGTAAACAATATATTGATAATTATGTTTGTGTGCTTATTGTGTTGTATACAACGAGTGTATATATATACATTGCACCTTACTTTGGTCTCATAGGCCACATAAGTTATGTGAAAAAATAAAATAGTGAAAAAAACAAAAAACCTTCAATTACAAGTAAACTAAAGTTTACCGGGTGAGCGGCAGTCGCCGCTGTTGCCATACGCGGCTCATTTTCTGCAAACTTCACGGCTCTATATCTCGGTAAGTACCGATGGCAAAAATTTTTTTTTTGGACTAAAACACTCAGAAAAATAATCTTAACATTTTCATAAGAAAAAATAATTTTTTTTTTTTTTGAATATTTGGCGACATAGAATGACAGTTTCAGAGAGGGGCCTGAAACAGTCAAAGGGTTAATATGTAAGTGCTAAATTTGTAAGGGCCATGCAGTGCCTGGTGAATTGAAATAGTTTGATCTGAGGGAATGGCAGCTCCACTTCCTTGGATCATGAGAGCTTCACTCATGTAGGCACCTCCCTTGAAGGGTCTGTGCATATATACTTGTGAATAGCTAAGGTGTAATGATCACTTGTCAGTGCTAAATAATAACACACATGGAGACACACACAAGAGGTTGATTGATGTGTATATTTCTGCCCCCTTCTGGGATCCATCTACTGAAGAGGACCCCAGAAAGGGGTCAGAATATACAATAAGACTGCTGTATCCGCATATCTGGTTTCCTCAGTTTCATTTATCCACTGTTTACTGTGGCCCCCCAAAAAATTAATTTTGACTAATAATGACACCAAAGGGCAAAAGTAGTGATGCTGACGATTCTTCAAAGCCTAAGAGAAGTCGTGAAGTGCTTCTCATCAGTGAAAGTGCTAATTCTCGACTTATTGTGTGTAATTTATCAATTAAACTTTACCATAGTTATGTATGTCTAACGAAAAAGTACTTAAATATAGGGTTCGCTGTTATCCACGATAGGTCTTGGAACACATCCCCCATAGATATGGGGGGACTACTGTATATGCAAATCAATCAGCCTCCTGTGTTTCTGCTTCCATGTAGGTTATTATTGAATATATATACTTGTATAAATGTTTTGATTATACCAACACGAAAATTCATTTAACCAGCCGGTGTGAACAGAGAAGAGATTGTAGCCGAAGCTAAGAAGAAACCCATTGAGCTGGACCATGAGAAAGAATGGAAGTTAGCTCGTACAATTCTCAAACTTCCTGATGTTCTGGTTCGAATCACAGACGATCTGTATCTCCATCCTCTATGTGAATACCTTTACGAGGTGAGTCAAGCTCAGATTTTTTTTTTAATGCCACAGTAGGGCAACACAAAAAACGAGGAAGTACATTCATTATTTTTATAATGTTAATTGTATTATTTATGACTATTATTATATTCATGAGGAATCCCTAAACCCATAGGGGTCATGTATTATTATTACAATTAGAAGTAAGTGCTAAACCCACAAGGAAGGGTCATGTAGCACCCAGGGAATGGGAGGTAATCAGGTGGGATTGAGGAAAGGGGGAACTAATCAAGTCCTTGGATGAATAGTCCTTCAGGAGTATAAAGGTACCAACATTGAATATCCTACAAGGAAGAGTAGGATTTTTGCTGCAGTGAAGGGGCTCTTGATCAGATGAATTGAATCTAAATACTTCCTCACCTTCTCCTTTTGGCCTCCTGAGTGGGGATATTTCCCATTTTGTGAAATCCATCTCCTAGACAGAAGGAAAAAAGAATCACTATTGGCCCTATTCTAACATGGCGGCTTGTGTTGGTAATTGCACTGGGGTAGTTAGGTCACTGTCTAATAGAAATAGGATCATTTTGGAGCATATTAATAAGCATCTTCAAAAAGTTTTGGAAATCATTCCGGTCACATATGGTAGAAATAGGGCATCAAGTAATAGCAACTCTGCATACAGTTGGGTAGACCTGTAGTTATATGTTTGTCTAGTGTTTTCCACTGTTGTATTGCATAATTGGAAATTTGAGTTGTTAATTGTATTTCATGTAAAATTCTTAAATAGTGTTTCTTGTGAATAAGTGGTTTAGAAAACCAACAGTTGATAAATGAGACACTTGTGCAACATTTGGGTATCTTTATTCTGGGAACATTTTACCAGCTAGTGGCTTCTTTAGTCCATGCAGAGAAAGGTGGAAGATGAGGAGTTTGAGGTAATCAGTCCCTCAGCCTGGGGTTGATGTGTTCAGTCCCAGGTTGGTTTTCTAAACCAACTGTTCCACCTCATCTGTCATCAGATGAGGTGGAACAGTGGCAAGCAGTCACTAGTGGACAAAACCACTAGTAGAAGTAGGCCGTGCCTATAGGATAGACAAGTTTTGAAGAATTCCCTGTTGTCTTGAATCGAGGTAAAGTGAGCCAAAAGAGTAGTGCGAAGAGCACCAAGTCATGGATCTCCACGATATGGGACCTCTTGCAGCACCTACTGCTAGTACCTATAGAGGACTGATATACCTCATATTCTGTACAAGTTCAACTGTCTTCAAGTTATCTCCTAGAATTTGTATTGATAAAGCCAATGGATGGCGAAACGTCTACAATAAAGATACCCAGATGTTGCACATGTGTCTTAATTATCTCATCTTGTCGGTATCATTATGCATATTTTCATGTACACAACGAGCCAAAAATAAACTTTCTAAATGTCAATGACTCAGTTGCTGTCTTACCAGAGGCATGTTGTCATCACAGTTCAGGGGACCCTCTGAACTGCAACATCTTCACCCCTCCTGTGTACACATATAGAATATTCTGATAAGTGATATAAATAATTTTGTTTTCCCAGGTTTCAACGGTGTTTACAGAGTTCTACGACAACTGCTATTGTATTGAAAAGGATGAGACAGGAAAGATTGTCAAAATAAATCATTGCCGCCTGATGCTGTGCGAGGCCACTGCTCAAGTCATGGAGAAGTGCTTTGCCATTCTTGGTATTGAAACTGTGGACAAAATGTAATCATGTATGGCAATAGTTTTTGCTAATTATTGTATTCATACAAAAAAATATTAAACTTGCATGAGGTTTCCTCAAAATAATTTTATATTTAAACCTTCATAGATAGCTTGAGCACCTCTGCAAAAGCAGTGATAATGTGTGAGTGTGGTGAAAGTGTTGAATGATGATGAAAGTATTTTCTTTTTGGGGATTTTCTTTCTATTTTGGGTCACCTGCACGGTGAGACGACAATGTTGAAAAAAAAAAAAAAAAATGCTTTTAAAAGAGAAAACAGACCCTACGTAATGTCAATTTTGTCAATAGACATTATTATAATCATGGGTGAGCGCTAAACCCACAGGGATTATATAGTGCCGGTGTGGAGGGTATTCAGGCTTAATTCAGGGAACTGGAGTACAGATCCAATCCCTGGATCAAGAGCCCCTCACCAGCATCAAGGAACCTCCCTTGAGGGGAGCTGTCTTGACAAAAATGTGCAGACATCAAAATTCAAAAATTATTCAGAAAAGATGGGTAAGTAGATTGCATTTCTTTTGCCACTCGCCTGCCTTGGTGGGAGACAGCCAGCATGATAAAAAAATGTATATTTATTTCAAGAAAAATAATAAGTCGTCCCTCAAATTACGATATTAATGTTCTAGATGTATCATACCTCCAAACTATGGTAACTCAAACCCCAGAACCCCCGGGTTTTTAACAGTAAAGGGTTTGCAAGCCCCCTGGAAGAAACAAACTTTTACTGTCCTTAACAGTCATTTTTTTAAATTTTTAATTATAATCAAAAAAATATTATTTTTAAATTATAATCAAGGGGAAGCACAAAAACCCATGGGAAATTATACAGATTGGGGGAGGGAGGGGAAGGGAAATTCATTTTTTAACCCTGGGGGAACTGGAGCCCCAGACCCAAATTTCCCCCTAAAATCAAAAAGAAGCGCTAAGCCACAAGGACTTTTCAGGCCCAGTCGGGTTAAAAACCTTTTATTATACCCCCCATGGGGGGAACACGGGGAATTTAAATAACTTGTAAACACTGTATATACCTTTCTCGCTTCTCTTTTTCCCCCGTCCTTTCCTTTTCCCAATGAATCATTTTTTTTGGGTTTTTTTTTTTTCCCAATATTTAAAATTTTGTCCCCCAAATTTTAAGAAATTTGAAGACTGAAAAAAAACACTCAGAATAACCTCAAACAAAAGGGAGAAAAACAAATGAACTAGCCAAAACGGCTATTGGCTGAAAATGCTATCATAGACTTTCACCCTCACGGGCTGACGGGCTACTAAGCCCCCCGTACCCCCACTCCTACAAGTCACTGTCAAAAAGGCGACCAAGACCAACCCACACAAAAAACTGTTTTACTTTTGGGTTCAAATGTTTGGTTGGCTGTGGGCCACCTTCTCAGTGCTATATGCCCCTTTGGGGGTTTTGCACTTGGTTTTGAGATAATAATGGAGGGTCCACCAATTTTCAAAACCATAATAGTAATGTGTTAATTTTTTCCAAAAAAAGATGTATATGTACTCATTTTGTGTCCCACAAAAAACTAAAATTACCCTGAGAGTAAATTTAACCCCCAGGGACCAATGTACTTCCTTTAAAACAAAAAAAGAAAACAATAAAATATTATAATAATCATGGGGAGCACTAAACCCATAAGATTAGTATTTCCGGTGTTGGGGGGGGGTTTTAAAGGAAAAGGGATTCAGGTTTTAATTTTTGGTAACTGGAGCACAGATCCAGTTCCCCCAAATCAAGAGCCCCCCCCACCAGACCCCGGAAAAGAGAAAAAATTACAAGGAAAGCACCCAACCGTAGGCAAAAGTGCCTGGGAAATGGGAAAAATCAGGTTTTTTTTTATCCTTGAAAGTCTTTAGAGGGCCCCTTTTAAACCAAGGGGAAAGGAACAATCTCGCCTTCCTTGGAAACGAACTAATAAAAACTCGCTGGGGTTTCCCACAGTCTTTGGTGAATGGGTGGGAATTTTGTTTGAACCAAGGGAAAAGGGGGGGGCAGGTTCCAAAATTCTTTGGGTTAACCCTTTGAAAGGGGGCGACAGGGCCCCCTTTCCCAAACTCATTCTCAGGGTCGGGCCAAAATTTAAAAAAAAAAAAACTTATGAAAAGATAAAAGAATCTTTTCCCCCGATCATAATGACACCAGAAGAAAAAATTTTGATGGAAAACTTACGGGAAATTTTGCTCCCGAAAATTTTGCGGCCCCCGCGATTTTACCCCATCGGGGATTTAAAACCCCACATTTTTTTTGGCCAATTTTCCCCTGTACTAGTCGACAAAAAACCCTGAAAAATTTCCCCAAAACTTCCATTTTTTCTATCGAATGAGGGGGGCAAGAAACCCCCCCCCATTTACCAAAATTTTAACTACCAGTAAGTGGCAGAATTTTAAAAATTTTGGGCCCCAAATTTTACACAAATTTCAAAAGATGCCCAATTTTCCCAAAAAGGGCCAGGGAAAAAACAAAAAGACATTCCCGGGACAAAAATGACATTTGGGTCTGTTCAAATTTGTCCGCTCAAGGCCCCTCTTACATTCTTTTGCTTTCCACTTTGAAAAATTTTTTTTTCCCCCCAAAAAAAAAAAATTTAAAATGTTATGCAGACTACTGCAAATTTGTGTAAAAAAAAGGGAAAAATAATTTTTGGCGCACCTTTCGAAAAAAAATAATTTGACCACCATTTGACGTGTATTGGACTTTGGGGATTAAATTTTTTTTAAATTTGAACTTTGGTAAAAATCGAACATTTTTGCTACTTTGAGCTCAATTTTTAAGGTACGTTTTTATTGTTTATTTTTTAAACAAGGGGGGGGAAAACCTAAACCTGGAGGATTTACGCGCCGGGGGGGGGGGATGTGGGGAAGGGATTTCAGGCTTAATTCGGGGAACTGGGCACAGATCCAATTTCCCCCAAATCAAGAGCCCCTCACCAACATCAAGGAACCTTCCTTGAGGGGAAATTTCAATTGTAAAAACCCCTCCAAAAAAATCTCAATTTTTTGTAATATGTTTTTTCCCTTCTATGAAAAGAACCAAGAAAACCCAGAAAAACAAAATTTAAAAACCATATGAAAATAATGCAGTCGCTGTTTTTATTTCCAAAAAAAAAGGTCATTTTTTTCCCCATTATGCAATGTGTCTTTCAGATTTTTTTTTTACGTGCACACTGACCACATAGCCCCTTTTTTTCAAATGTAAAGGGCCAAACCCGCATTCCCCACTGAATTTTTTTTTTTGGAGGGGGGCCCCAGAATTTTGGCGAACTTGTACGTCCAAAAAAACCCCGGGTCGTAAGCCGTAAATAGTACGGCTGGGAAAAAACCCAAAGGGTTAAGAGCACCTCCCCCCCAAAGGCTACACAGTGCAAAAGGAAAAAGAGAAAAATTAATAAAATCCCAATGAAGGGTTTTAAATTTCCCTTTGGGCAGAACCTTTTTCAGGTCTCACATGGCCCCATTTAAGGGGGGGGGCTTTTTCCCTAAAAAATAAAAAATAAAAAACATTTGAACACACTTTAAATACAAATAATTCCCTTTAAAAACCCCATTCTGCCCCTGGGATTTTGAGGGGATTTTAAAATACAAAAGAATTTATTCTTTAAAATTTATTTAAAACCTTTTGAAAATTTAAAAGGGGGTTCAAAATTTTCCCGGGTGTCCACCTTGGGAAAAACCAACCAAACCCTTCCCCCAGGGAATTTTAAAAGACTTTTCCACTTTCTCCCCCGGGCACTCCAAAATTTTAACCCAGGCAAAACGTGGCTTCTTCAAATTTTAACCTGTAAAATACATAGAATCAGCATCAACTACAAGACAGTGCCTAACGTCCATTACATCTTATTGATTCTTGGGTCACAGTTCCCAAACTGAGAAAGAAACAATTAAGAAGTGAGGCTAGTAACCCCCTCTCCTGTATAAATTACTAAAGAAATCTTTTTCTCAGGTCACCCTGCCTCAATGGGAGATGGCCAGTGTGTGAAGAGAGAGAGGTATAAGAACACTTCAAAACAGAGAAGGGCAAAGATAAATTTACACTAATTCTACAAGTTTAAAAGATTACCTATCATCAGTGTTCATGAAAAAATATTACCTACAATTTTACCCAAGTGCAAACATTTAACAAGGTTGTGTTTCAGACCAGTACAGTAGTACTCCACTTTAAGTACCAAGTCTACCAACCTATGTACCTATGCATTATTACAATCATAACTATGTGCTAAAGGGTAATACAGTGCTGCTCCTGGCTTTTATACTTCAGAAAAATTATTTTTTTTTAAACTGAAAAAATTAAGACCCTACAAACTTGGGGCATATAGCACGTACCTTACGAATATGCACTTCTTTGAGGGGGAAAATAAGGTTGCAAGCTTTTCGGATATCATCAGCCATTGAATCAGGGATTAGTTTGTTGACCACCTCCTTCAGCTCACTACTGGCCACAGCACGCGTGATAATGTCCACCATTTTCTTGCGGATGTTCTTTACTTGAGTGTGCTGGGCATAAGCTGTCTTTCTGGTTTGGCTGGATACCTTTTCGGTAAATCCAATGCAGAAGACGCGAAGGATGTAGCCATCAGTAGTCTTGACATCAGTGTTGGCCTCGATGCACGTCTGTAAACAAAATTGACTAATTATGGACTGAAAAGATGACAATATCAAAGAGCACAAAAAAAAAAATATTCTTGATGGGAATGGGGGTTTAATTTTGTTTCCAATATAACAGCAATTCTCAAAAATTTCAATTCTGTTTACTGTTTTTAATATTCACGATTATGCTGCACAATAAAATCAACTGCCAGAGCTTTATCATTTCTCATTGAAGATGTTTAAAAAGGGCAAACTAATAAAAAACAACATAGGGAATGTTTTTGTTTAAGTAATTTATTGGTAGTTTTTACAAAATTCAGCAAAATCTCTAAAATAAAATACATAAACACTTCCACAGCAAAACAATAGCCATTTTTAAGTTTTGAAAAATTCTATTAATATTTTTGGCCAACAAAACTGACTGGGGCCCTTCCCCCCAAAGGGATGGTGAC